ACTATGTATGCTCTTACATCTGGGTAATACATATATCTACATGCCAGTGTGTCTACAGAATCATTTGATCTGCCTTGAGGCTATGCAAGGTCACAATGTGCCTTCTGAATTATTCAAAATTAAAGCAAATTCAGTATTGCGTAACTTACTGTCTAATTAATAAAACAAACAGAAAACCCAAATGGTTAATTTGAGCTTTTTCCATTAGATATATTGGGTATATGTGGGTATACTGAAACATTAAATTATAGAACTAAATATAAAAAATTAAGTATAACTTTAGAATTGAGTATATTCTGATCAATTTCACTAAATTTATCTCATATAATACATACTAACCCAATGTTGGAATAAACAGAACATTTCTCTCTCAACTATACCCAATAGTAATGCATGGTACTAGTCAGTTAAACAAAAAGTATCATGCAAGTAGATGCACAGTAAATATTTACTGAAAGATCGTTACAGCTATCCTATAATGTCCTGTGGATTATATTATCTGGATCATAAACTATCTTTCAAGTGCACCTCTCATCTACCCTTTTTAACTGTATCTTCTGGAGATAAGGAACCACTGCCTCCTACTTCCTGATATCGCTCTCAACCACCTCTGCCCTCTTTACCTTCAACATTGTCTTGAATACAGTGTCCTCATTCCAGGCAAGTGGAGGCCCAAGGGACTGAGGTTTGGGCCAGGTGAGGGAAGCTGGGAGCCTGGCCAAGGGAGGTCTATCACTTACCAGTGGACAGAGACAACAGTATGGTGGTAACCAGGGGAGAAGGGACTTGGGGGAGAATATATGGTGAATGGGTGGTGAACATACAACACAATATACAGATGCTATATTATAGAATTGTACACCTGAAACTTATATAGTGTTATTAACCAATGTCACCCCAATAAATTTAATAAAAAGTACAAACTGGCAGTTATAAAATAAGTCATGAGAATATAACATACAGCACAGGAAATATAGTCAATACTATCCTAATAACTATATATGGTGACTAGTCTTATTATGGTGATTACTGTATAAGGTATATAGATGTCTAATTACTATGTTGTACACCTGAAGCCAATATAATATTGTATATCAACTATAATTTAAAAATAAATTTTAAAAAAGAGGGAGGGAGGGCAAAACTTGAGATACATTTTTGCTTATATATATTTAGTGACTAAGAATAATGAATGAATCATACACTAGCATAGTTTGGTTGGTGAAAAAATGAACATGATCATAGTTCCTTTGCCAGGTTTTTCTGAGCTAAGTAGAAAGTGAAAATCTCAGACATCATTTGCATATGAGTCTCCTGATGGACATCCTGGGTAGAATCAAGTGTAAGAACATGATTGAAAGTGATATGGCCCTTTGGGCAATTCCTTTTAAGGGAATATCCTCTGCCTGGTGGGAACAGGAGTCAGCACTAGCAATGCTGTACCAACTATTCAAATTAGGGCCTTCTAATAAGGACCCTCAGGTTTATGAGCTTAGAATGGTTCTCCAGATGCCAAGCATTGCCACTGGCAACCTTGTACACTATCCTATACTGGCACCTTCAACAGAGCTCATAGTTATTTCATACACAACAGCAGGGATTCAGGATTCCCAGCCCTTGGTTTAACCACATTATTCTCCATAATAAACTTGGGCATTTCTTCAGCTTCTAAATCATTTCCTCTAAGCCAGAGGGAGAAAAGTTATTGAGAAGGGAGATGTACCTGACATTTCTTTTATACAGGATATAGTGATGCTGGCTTATTGCTCAAGTCATTAATTCCCCATCTTTTTCCAATGAGACTTTCATTTCATTAAAGGTAATAATAGTTGACAACCCCTTATGCCCTGAGTTGTTATTGCTCTATTTTTTTCATGGCATGTAAAAATAAAATATACACACTGCCATAGATGATCAACTCAAAACAAGCTGCTCAAGAATTTTATTATCCAATGGAATATTCTGTAGGGAGCTGTATCTCCCTTCTTGGGCAGTCTGATACGCTTCAAGCGTCCAGAAGAGGAGAATTAGCAGCCTGTTGTTCCAAAGTTCATCTCCGTTACTATTGTTTGAAATAGAGTGCTGGTGCAATTGGACTCGTAAAGTTCCTCCAAGTCAGAGGGGAGAAAACATCTTTTCTCTGAGACCCTGCTGGATTCTGTTAGATAGACCAGTCAACTGAGGACCTCACACTAACAAAGAATAAATAATTTTTTTAGGGTAGTGCGACCAGGAGGGGAGAAACTACTTACTGTTAGATATTGGTGGTGGCTGCAATTTCAGAATAGTTATTTATGTTGATAGCTTTTCAAAGCCACCCTATTTGTACAATATGCAAAGAAAAGCTATCACCATAAATAATTACTCTGAAATTGGAGCCGCCACCAATATCTAAAATTTCCCAAGGTTCATACCAGATAAAAAGAATAATATAGATATGCCCTCTTACATTTCTTACTAAAAGCAAGTTATTCATTTTCACCTTGATCAACAGGATAATCACATGTGTAAATCTCCCATTCTGACCCCAAAATTGTCTTTAAATAAATCTCATGCAATTTTTATGTCTAACAAGCCATTATATTTTTATTACTAAAGCAGTAATAGCAGTTTATTAGGTTTTTTAAATGCCCTATTGATCATTGAAGGTCTTTCTCCTTCCTCAAGTAGCTCTTAAATGACAGAAGTCATTGTCCATCACGATTACGAGGTATTAGTCACAGGACATAAATATCTCCTATTTCTTGCAGTGGGCCATTAGAGGATTATAATAGAACAAATGAATAAACTGCCTTCTGAACCAGTTAAAAGCATCTCCTTTAGGTTTCTAAATATTCTGGATAGTCAAAGGGTTGTCAAAACCAGTGTTATCTGCATTCTTTGCAAGCAGGAACAATAAAGCTTAGTTCTGATCTTGCATTGCCAAACACATCGCACCACTAATATTGAATGGGCAAAAAGTCCTCCTGCTGAGGTTTCCCCCTCTGTCTGAATCACCCTTAAAATATGTATGGTTACTCTTTTATCCTAAAGCTGCCCTCTCATCCATTTCCCCTAGAGTAAAATCTCCATTCTAAAGGACTCCTCAGTAATTTTGAGTTTGTGATACAAATTATCTTAGGAGTCTTTGCAGATAAAGAACTAAAGACTATGAGAATGAAAGTTCAAATTGGCTGCAGTGATCAATAAATAATCTCACATGGAGTTGTTCTAAAGGAAATCATTAAAAAAAACACAGGTATTTTATTCCTTTGGCTCAGCAATCTTGACATCAATGAAGTCCTTTGGAACCTGGTGGAGGTTGCCATTCTTTATTTTTGTCTATTTTCTGCCCAGCATAAGCCTTTCTGCACACCAATCATTATGACCTAAAGATGATAAAAATATCCTTTTCCTTTTCTCAAATTTCCCAACAATTTATTCATCCAAATCCTATCACATCAGACTTTGTTTTATATAGTCTTTGTGTATGCATATCTTTCTCCTACAAAGTAATTTAAAGCTATCTATCTTCCTTTACAAACTCCATAGCCCTTGTACAAAGTAGGTCCTTTAAAATGTTGAGAAGACCAATTGATTTTTAAAAAAGAGATTAAAAGGCACATTAACTCATTGCAATATACAGGATTTAATTTGATCCTAATTCAAACAAATATGTTTAAAAAAATTATGAGAAAATGAGAGAAAGTTGAATGTTGATTGGATATTTGATAATATTAAGAAATTGTTAAGTGTGTGCATGCTCAGGAAAGGAGTGATAGGCTCTAATCTCCCATCTCCAGCTGATATCTATGCAACAGGAAGTGAAGGCTAATGCAGAGTTGTCATTGCATGGATGAGTGTTGAAAGCATGCCCCAATATCCTCACAGAGCCAATGAGAAAAGAGTAGGAGGCTTATTGGTTATATGTGGTTTAAAAAAAAAATCTCTGTTCAATCATTAGCTGACCACTAAGCTAACCAAGCAGAATTCAGTGGCCACACACAACAAAAAAATACAGACTACAAAATTACTTCAGAAAACTAACTAAAGAAACAATTACAAAAAGCAGCAACAAAAACTTGGGAGGAGAGGGAAGAATTTAATTTCCAGAGCCACATTTTTTTATTCTACTCTACTACCTAAACTTTTGTTTTTTCTTTTCGATACTATGAATACTTCACTTCTAACATCAAATGTGTTTTTGTTTTTCCCATATCAACCAATTCTCTGGCCAACAGCAGGTGTCCTACAACTCAGTTCAATTCTGATACTATCCACCTGGAGCTCAAGGGAGGTCCCACAGGACTGCCCCCACTTCAGACCCAATGGAGGCCTGTCATCAATCGAGGGTTCCCACGACCCCCCTCCTCAGGTTCAATAATTTGCTAGAATAACTCACAGAACTCAGGAAAGCACTTTACTCCCTATTAGTTATTTATTGTAATGGATATAACTCAGGAAGGCCAAATGGAAGAGCTGCATAGGGCAACACACATGGGAAGGTACAGAACTTCCATACCTTCTTTAGGTGTACCACTCTCCCAGCACCTCAAGGTGTTCACCGATCTGGAAGCTCTTCAAAGGTTGAAAATATTAACCAATACAATTAAAGAGAAGAAATCACTGAGGTTTAAGAATGGACAGGAAGATGGAAAACATATCTTTATAGATGGCATAATTATATATTTGGGGAAACAATGATAATAAATCAATGAAACTCAATGGGGGAAAGTTACTAAAAATAGAAAGACATTAGTGAAGTGGTAGGTTATAATATTGTATAAAATCAACAGCTTTCATATTTACAAACCAAAACCAGTTAGAGGATATACATGGAAACCATAAAATATTTCTGAGATACACAGAAGTAGATTTTAAACATCAGGAAAGACAAACAAACCATGTCCTTACATAGAAAGACACATCATACAGATGTCCATTCTCTATAAATTAACGTAGCACAGCCCCAATAAAAATACTGTCTTTTACTGGATATAGAAGAATTATTTAAAGTTTACCTGAAAGAACAAACCAGGGAAAACAGCCTCCAAAAAACTGTCAAAGAAAAACACAATAAGGAAGAGTTGGTCAATTACGTTTATAATTAAAAGTTTGGTAGAGGTGAATAAGTAGAAGACAGACCAACAGAAAAGACAGGAGCATATAGAAATGTAGTATCAATTAATAATAGTATCTCAAACAGTAGGGAAAAGGTAGATTTTTCTAACAGATGTTAGGATAACTGGATAATCACATAGAAAGGTGGATTTTTCTAACAAATGTTGTTAGGATAACTGGATAATCACATAAAAATCATTAAAATTGGATCCATTCCTCCCACTAACAGGAGAAGATGTTCATCTTGCACATTAGAGAAATGCAAAGTGAAACTGTACTGACATATATTTCTCACCTATGAGACTGGCAAATAGCCCTGAGTTTGACAGCGTTCTCTACTGGCACTCTCATACATGACTGATACACATCATTTGCCTATGGAAGGGAAATTGGCAATATCTAGCAAACTTGCATACGAATTTACCTTTTGACCCAACAACCCCACTTCTAGGAATCTCCCAATGCTATGCTGGTGAAAACGCAAACAGCACAAAGTTATTTATTGCAGCACCATTTGCAATAACACAAAAGTAGAAGTAATACAAATGTCCATTAATCCGGAAAAGGTGGGATAAACTGTAGTGTAGGAGCCCAGATGCTGTGAAATGAGGGCTGTCTCTATACATTATGGAACTACATATTTATACAGTGAAAAAAGCAAGATGGTGAAGACTGTATATACTACTCTTCTGCTTATCTAAGGACGGGTTTTAAAACTACATGCTTATGTTTAAAATAAATTTTAAAATAAACTATTAAAAAGCTTCCTGTGAGAGAAGGGGCAAATAGGATGAATAGGAGGTAGAAGTCAGATTTCTGTGAATATTATGTTTTTCCCTCTACATTTAACTTTGAACTATATAAATATTTCTCATAATTATAAAGCAAAACTACTTTAAAAGTTCCTAAAAGACAAAATGAAACACATAATCCTATACACTCAAGTGACTTTAAAACACAGCAATGTGACTAGGCATCCCTAGTGAGATATACCTACATAATAAAAAGAATGGGGGTGTACAATCTGTTTTCACTAGTATTATTGCTGTAGTGTAGAAACTGTGTGTGAATCTTGTATAAAACAAATGGGCACTTGTGCCAGGACGACGTGACTCAGTGGTTGAGCATTGATCTATGAACCAGGAGGTCACAGTTCGATTCCCAGTCAGGGCATAAGCCCGGGGTGTGGGCTCGATCCCCAGTGTGGGGAGTGCAAGAGGCAGCTGATCAATGATTCTCTCTCATCATTGATGTTTCTCTCTCTCTCTCTCCTTCTCCCTTCCTCTCTGAAATAAAAAATAAACAAACCAATTGGCACCTGTTAGTGTCGCTGAGAAGTAGAATTTTCAGCGTATAGGAAAGAAAATACACCCTGATTGGTGTGGCTCAGTGGACAGAGCCTCGGCCCTTGTATCCAAGGATCTTGGGTACAATTTCCCCAGCCCTAGCCCTGGCCCTGGCCCTGGTCAGGCGTGCTTGGTAGGCAACCAATCAAAGTGTCTCTCACATCAATGTTTCTCTCTCTCTCTCTCTCCCTCTCTCTCTCTCTCCTCTCTCTCTCTGTCTTCCTCCCTCCTTCTCCCTTTCTCCCTCTCCCTCCTTTTTACTCTCTCTGAAAATCAATGAAAAAAAAATATCGTCAGGTGAGGATTAACAACAACAAAAAGTAGTCCTTGACTTCCAGAGATACACACTAAAATATCTACCGATGACATGTCTGGAATCTGCTTCAAAATGGCTATGAGACAGAGAAAATGGTGGGTGAAGGAAATAGTTGGGTGACGGATACATGAAAGTTCATTATACAATTCTCTATTTTTTCCATAATAAAAAGATAAAAAGAATAATTAAGTATGCATTTCTATCAATATACATAAACAAATACCACACTATGACATTTAAAAGTGGGCTTAATAAAACCAAATAAGTACAAGAAGGTAAAAACCATAAGAATTTAAATGTGTTATTGTTTAAAACCAAGTAAATATTTTTTTAAGTATGAAAACCAAAATCTAGACTATACCACTACTAACTAATGCATCTATTTATGGAACTACTCTGGCTTAGAATTGTTATCTTTGACACACATTATTTGATCCAATATTCTGTAATATAACCTCACAAGTATTATACCTTTTTAATTGTGTGATTCACATCACAGTCATATTTAGTCACCAGATGGACTTTCTTCTTTACCTATTCCATCATGTTAAAAAAAAGAATGCGAATTAGCACCTTTTAATGACTCATGATAGACTTTTATCATACACACAGGAGAGCAGTGAAGAGAAGGTTATGCTAACCACTGGATGGTAAAAGAGACAAACAGATGCTATTCACAAGTCTCAGTGTGCCAGTGACAATTACCACCTGTTCCGCTTCACTATTAGTGCTATGCATGAAAAAGAAGCCAAGAGAGAAAAATCATGCAGACGCTAATCTTTACTGCAACAATGGTATTTTTAATGCCTTCATTAAAAATAGTTATAATACAGTTATAATAGTTGTGCAACAGATATGCAATTGTATGACTATCCTGGGCTGAGACCAGATGACTAGCTCAGGTTCACAAAGATATCATCTTTTCTATACAAATAGGAGGGAGGGATTGTTTGCTTTATGCAGATTTCTAAGGGGGGAAAAAATTCAACCCAGAACTGCCTCATTATTTCTCATTCTTACCAATTCAGAATTTGTGATATCTCACGGCTTGGGCTTGGATACAGATATCATTAACAGGATTAAGAAAAGGCTTCATCAGACTACAGAATTATAGAGGTGTTTTGGCTAAGACAAAAAATACTCCTCAAACTTCTATGCAGATTTTTAAAAAACTGAGGTATTAAGAGAATATTCCAACATATAGGTTAACATTAATACTGGGTGGATAATGATTGTCACTCCATCTACCTTCCTCCTTTTTTTCCCTCTGAGTTTTAAAATATTTTTCTTTTAAAATGAAAAGCTTAAAGCTATTATTGGCCCTAGCCCAGTGATGGCGAACCTATGACACGCGTGTCAGAGGTGACACGCAAACTCATTTTTTTGGTTGATTTTTCTTTGTTAAATGGCATTTAAATATATAAAATAAATATCAAAAATATGTCTTTGTTTTACTATGGTTGCAAATATCAAAAAATTTCAATATGTGACACGGCACCAGAGTTAAGTTAGGGTTTTTCAAAATGCTGACACACCGAGCTCAAAAGGTTCGCCATCACTGCCCTAGCCAGTTTTTCTCAGTGGATAGAGCATTGGCCTACAGACTGAAGGGTCCCAGGTTAGATTCCGGTCCAAGGGCACATGCCCTGGTTGTGGGCTCAATCCCCATTAGGGGGCATGCAGGAGGCAGCCAATCTAAGATTCTCTCTCATCATTGATGTTTCTATCTCTCTCTCTCCCTCTCCCTTCCTCTCTAAAATAAATAAAAATATTTTTTTAAATGTGCTATTGTTACGGTTATATGAAAAAATTTTACAGATTTTCATTAGCATAGGGGCAGGTTAATACCTTTTATTTAAAATATAAATGTTTTATTCACTAAAGCAACTGCAGAAGGTATGTACTTAACATCTGTGCCCAAAGCATGTATTTTCATTAAAAAATATAATTCATACTGGCCTCCCCTCAGCATAAATTACTGGCATGATGTTGCAAATATGGCCATATATATTTCTACCAATATGTGACAAAAATACTGAGCATAACCAATTCCCTGTCTCATTAAAACCACAGGTTTTGATTGACTCCAACAACAACAAAAAACAGTTTACTTATGGCAAGGTATTGTGTTTTGATAACCACGTGTCATTTAATAACAATAATAAATACAGATGAGGATAAACAGACTAATTTACCTCAAACAGAGAAACATGGAAAGAGAGTACAACAAGAAATCTCAACAGTTGCACACAGGAATATTCAATTCCTCTTACATGTTTTGTTAAAACAATGAAAAAGGATACAGATGGGGGGAAAGCATGTTTATAAAACTATCATGATTTTAAAAGCATAATACTTTTAAAATAATTTTTAAAAAGTAATCATTTCTAAAATATATTTTTATTGATTTCAGAGAGGAAGGGAAAGGAAGCGATAGAAACATCAGTGATGACAGAGAATCATCGATTGGCTGCCTCCAGCACACTCCACACCAGGAATCAAGCCTGCAACCTGGAAATGTGCCCTGACCAGAAATCAAACCGTGACCTCCTGGTTCATAGGTTGATACTCAACCTCTGAGTCACGCTGGCCAGGCCAAAAATTAATCATCCTATATAATAAAACCCTAATATGCTAAGTGTCCGACCGTTCAACCAGTCGCTATGACGCGCACTTACCACCAGGGGGCAGACGCTCTGACCAGTAGGTTAGTTTGCTGCTGGGGTCCGGCCAATCGAGTTGGGGGAGACAGGCCAGACACGCCCTGGAGCCCTCTCAGGGTCCCTCCCTGGCCCCAATCGGCCCCAATAGAAACTAGGCGAGATGGGCCGGACACACCCTGGACGAATCCATGCACCAGGCCAGTTTCAGCCCGATCCCCACAGGCCAGGCCAAGGGAACCCACCAGTGCATGAATCCATGCACCAGGCCTCTAGTTTTTAAAACAATGCTTGCAAAACTCTAAGCCCTCCAACATAAACCATATTTACCTTAAGTAATAAAACACAGCCTTATCGTAGCAAGATTGTGCAGGTGTAAACTGAGAAAGCCAACATTAGCTCATAGAATGTAGCACTCCTTTCCTGATGCAGGTATACCGCTCTCAGCTACCTTTCAGATAACTACCCCAGGTCACAGAGTCATGAGTAATGAGATCTCTTGGTTTGGGCTCTCACATATACATTAGTCTTGATACCTGTTATGTAACTGGCTACTTGGGATAAGAAAGCGAGGAAGAGGCAAGTGCTCTGGTACAGGAAATTTCAGGGGAATTCATAGTACCTTAGGTACCATTAAGGTATTCCCAGTATCACAGGAAAAGCTTAGAGATCCCTTTGGCTTAAGAGAGACTCATTAAATTGAGCATATGAATGAAGCAAGTGAGCTCAGCTTCCACTTGCTTTATATAGATGATGAACTTGTGAAATTAGAAGACAGTGCATAGTCTTACTGGTCATTCCTTCACATTGTTAGATCTAAAACAATGAACATGAAACTGAAAATGGCCACATTACTAGCAACTTTACTAGCCCTGTAACCATTTTCACCATTTAAAGTCTTTCCAAAATAGAGTAGGCATCTGCTGGCAATAATTGTACTGAATCGTTAGTTCCTGTTCAAACATATATTTCTATGATTGATTAAGAAATATAGTCCTAGCCGGGTCCAGGTTCAATTCCGGTCAACGGCTTGTACCTTGGTTGCAGGCTCAATCCCCGGTCCTGGTTGGGGCATATGCAAAGGGCATAACCAATCCATGTGTCTCTTCCACATCAATGTTTCTCTCTCTCTCTGTCCCTCTCTCTCCCCTCCACTCTCTAAAAAAGAAAAAAAAATCAATGGAAAAATATCCTCAGATGAGGATTAACTAAAAAACAAAACAAAACAAAACTCATGTTGCCCTGGCCAGTTTTGCTCAGTGGTTAGAGTGTTGGCCCACAGACCAAAGGGTCTAGGTTCAATTCCCAGTCAAGGGCATGTACCAGGGTTGCAAGCCTGATCCCTGCCTGGGTCGGGGCGTGTGCAGGAGGCAACCAATCAATGTGTCTCTCTCACACGGATGTTTCTATCTCTCTCTCTCCTGCCCCTCCCCCACTTCCACTCTGTCTAAAAATCAATGGGGGGAATTATCCTCAGGTGATGATTAACCAAAAAAATATTCATATGTCTTCAAACTGTACCTGACACGATACTTAAAGATCCATACACATCGCAATTTTCACACAGGTTACAGATGGACTTAGGTGTAAAGAATAGACTTAGAGATATCAACTGGTTATCTATATATATATATAAAAGCCTAAGTGACCTTTATGACTGGTCAACTAAATGACCGGTCGCTATGATGTGCACTGACCACCAGGGGGAAGACACTCAACACAGGAGCTGCTCCCTGGTGGTCAGTGTGCTCCCACAGCCAACCTCCCGTGGTCTCTACCCCCGGCCAGCAGGCCCTGATCGGCCCCAATTTGGGCCTGCCGGCCAACCTCCCGGCCCCAATCAGCCCAATCGGGACTGGGTGAGACAGGCCCTGATTGGCCCCAATCACCAGCCAGGCCGAGGGACCCCACCCATGCACGAATTTGTGCACCAGGCCTCTAGTACATATATAAAAGCCTACACAACTGTTCAACCATTAGTTATGACGAGCACTGACCACCAGGGGGCAAATGCTCAATGCACAGGCATGGAAACATAGAACAGACTGATGAATCTCAGAGGGAAGAGGGGAGGGGGGAGGATGGGAAGAGATTAACCAAAGATTTTATATGCATACTAGAGGCCCGGTGAACAGATTTGTTCACCAGTGGGGTCCCTCAGCTCAGGCCGAAACTGGCGGTCCAACATCCCCCGAGGGGTCCCGGATTTCAAGAGGGCACAGGCCAGGCTAAGGAACCCTATCAGTGCACGAATCCATGCACCGGGCCTCTAATATGATATAAATATGACACAGACTGTCTATCAAGGATTATCAATCATAGGTGATCATGGAACACGGGAGTATAATTGATCTCTGGGAAGTTGGGCCAATAGAAAGCTGCATATCAACACTTGTTGCTTGGTGAAGGGAGAGGAAATTTTAAAGAAACGGTGTCCAGGTTACTACTTACATCAAATGATACCCTGTAACAGGAAGGATCAGCAGGAAATACACTTAAAGGATAATATCGGATCAAGGAAGTGTGAACTCTTGGCAACTGTCATTACGGCTAACCTGTGTCCTGCTCTGGTAATATGTACCACCATTAGAGAACTATTGCATGGGGCTCCTCATTAGGCTCACCATGTTAAACAGTATTGAAGCACTGTGCCTGCAGGGCAGAGCCTAAGCATCACACTAACTAGATGTCTCATTTTGATCAGAAACTGTAACTCTAACTAACCCACCATTAGATACTTTTGGATTTCTCACTGACTCCTTGCTATAGGTCATAAAACTCATAAATATTTTATTATAAAATTGTCTGAAAGATATTATACACAGTGAGTAAAATCATTTAATACCAAGGGCTTTAAATGTCTCTGAAATATTAATTTTCAGACTTTTAAGAATATGAGCTCAATGATAAGTTATAAAGAGTTGAATTTTTATTACATATTTGAACATGAACAAAAACACATGAAAAGACTCACCCTCAAATGTAAACATTTTATGTACATTTAGCCCTAAGAAAAAACTGGTTATACTAAAAATCAGAGACTTAGAGATTGGAAAAATAAAGATTAAGACAACACTTTAAAAATACTACATAGTACATACATTCATGGAATTTATTAAATTAAGTATCAGAATTTCCACCTGGTTTTCCATATCCATCCTATTTCTGCCTGTATACACACATTCAACTCTATCTCCACTCCACAGGCAGCAACTATAGTTCTAACCAGCGCTGAGTTCAGTCTGGACATTAACAATGCCTCCATCATTTGGTCCTCTGGACATTAAAAATACCTCCATCACTTGGCCTGCCTTCATCGCTGCTTTTATCAACAGCAAAGGACCATCAGAGATGGACCCACTGACCCATTCCCATCTATTTTAAGCCATAGGATCCTAACAGGACACAGATTTGACCTCCTTTGGATCCCATCTAGTTGTCTATCATGACAGTAATGCTTTCATAACCTTTCTCTCAAAGTTGGTCCCCAGAGCTTCTTATCATAGCTCACTTGATCCAGTATTCAGTCCTTTCTGACTCTAGATTCAGACTGAGCAACTGTAAAATCAATGAGGTGGTGTCTCATTAACCTAGGACTCTGAGGTCCAAATTTCACGGACTATTTGACAACCGATGTAGATAATAAAAAAAGAAAAGTACTATAATATTAATAGAATTGGCAATCATTGCTTCATAGGATCAAAGCTGCCCTCTGATTTGGAGGCTGAATGGAGCTTGAATGTTTGTATGTGATACTAAGTGACATAGCAATACATACCTTTCTGCCCTCCCAGTCTCCTGATTAGTATTTTAAGTGTGACAAAATGCCTATTTATCCCAATAACAACCTAATTTTTTTTAACTGAGGTTAGGTCTGTTCTTGCCTTTGCAGAAAGGGAGTCTTTTTTAGGCAAAGAGACTAGGAACTGGCAACTGTAAAATCAATGAGGTGGTGTCTCATTAACCTAGGACTCTGAGGTCCAAATTTCACGGACTATTTGACAACCGATGTAGATAATAAAAAAAGAAAAGTACTATAATATTAATAGAATTGGCAATCATTGCTTCATAGGATCAAAGCTGCCCTCTGATTTGGAGGCTGAATGGAGCTTGAATGTTTGTATGTGATACTAAGTGACATAGCAATACATACCTTTCTGCCCTCCCAGTCTCCTGATTAGTATTTTAAGTGTGACAAAATGCCTATTTATCCCAATAACAACCTAATTTTTTTTAACTGAGGTTAGGTCTGTTCTTGCCTTTGCAGAAAGGGAGTCTTTTTTAGGCAAAGAGACTATCAAGGAACTGAAAAAGAAAAGAAAAAAAAAACAAGAGCAAAATGATTCATTTTCTACATTCTTTTTTAAAAAAATTCTTTCCTGAGTTTACCTGCAAGAAACCAATAACAATTCTTCACAAAAGTGACTGAAGAGATAAGAATGAAATATAAGATAATTCTTTTATAAATATGAGATGTTCAACCTCAAATAAAATAACAATAAATTCCACCACTGTGTGTACGCTTCCAGTGAAGTTTTAATTCTTTCCATTCTAAGCTGATAGCCCTACATAAACACAGAATCATAGGTGGAAATATGCCATGTTTAGCACTAGAAGCACCATCTGGTTAGATAAATGAATATCACAAATTAAATTTACTGGTGATGAAACTGTAATAAAGTACTATAAGTCGGGTTTATAATATTTTTTACCAGGAAGGCCCTCATTGCATTGAACTAATACCACCCATAAAAAACCTAACCAACCACTCAAACAAAAATCATCTTTTGTGCCTCTAAAATCATGAAGACTTTGTACTCCATGCCTCTTAAGTCTTGGTGGTTTTCAGAGTAAGACAGATTAAGTGTTAAGTAGCTTCGCTGATTTCTCCATCTTGAATAACTGTCAGTTCAGGAACTTCGTTCATCCTCAGGACCTCTGCATAGAGCAGGTAATTATGTAGGCTTCTGGGAAGTGGCAACTGACAGATAAAATAATCAGATCGTAGGTGTTCTGGTTTTAGACTGGACCGAATTTCCAAACGACAAAGGTGGGTCAGGGATGGAACAGCACCTGGAGAAACAAACCAAACAAGGAAGATGAAAAAATTTTAAACATTAAGGTAAATGCCTTTTTTCTCTCATCTCTATGTAGTAAAAGAGAAGTGATATGTTACTCAGACTTACTTTTGAAAGACTGCTTGGGCCAGGATGACCACAACAAACTCTGTTTTACAGTCTTCACCTGGTTCCTCTCTCTCCAGTTGCTGGCCACACATGCAAAGCCAATACCCAGGGCCACATAAAATTAAATGTTCAAATTCTAAAGATCTGGCAATACCAGTTGGTACTTAAAAAATGGATGAACTAACCTTAAAAATGATAGCTCACAGCAACAAACATTACATCCCTTTTTTACTCTGTTTCTTTGCAAATGGTCTCTATCCAGACTTAGCACATTAAGTGAATAAATGTGTAGCTTACAAAAGTTTTCCTCTTCTTGTCCGTGACATAGAATGAAATTTCAAAATTGACACAGAGAGAAAAGTGCCTACCATGCCATATGCCTATACACTTCACACACATTCTCTTTTAATCTTCATTACCCTATGCTACAGAAATAAGAAGACAGAGGTTTAAGTAACTTTCCAAAGGTCATACATCTAGCATGTGGTAGACCTAGGATTCAAATTCAAGTGCGTCTGACCCCAGAGCACGAGTGTGAATGCACACATACTAAAACCACTGCGCCAAAGGCTAATTACCAATTAAAGGATAGTCCACATGCACTTAATTAAGAATCATACAATAGTTTCATTTTCCATGATGAAAAGTGTGCACTACAGTAAATGTCCACAGACATGGAGAGTACTAAAAATAGCTAGTGGTTTTATGTGAAAAAAATGTAGCGCCTTTTATTAATCCAAGAAATCTTGTATAAATCCCCATGCACTGTAGCAATGATTAGCAGACCAGGATCACAGCAACAAGGACAAATAGTATCAAGAGTCCAGCTGATACCAGATCAGCTGGTCTGACTCCAAGTCGTTCCTTAAACTGTAAATCCTCATAGGGCCTGGGACATTCTAATTCTCTAACATCTTCAGTATCTTCTAAACCACTAAAGTTAATCCATCATCTTACAATTTACTTTAAGCTTATTGGTTTGAGTTTAGTTTAATTTACTAAAGTCTGGGAAACGCCTTGAACCACAGTGTTTCAAAATGCCAAATAAGACATGCAAAACGATTATCTGATTTTGTACATAAACCTAAGCTAAAAAAAAGATGAGTATTTTCTTAAACCATGAGTCATAGACTCCCCATTATAAATCAGACCACATACTGGTAATCTATAATATATAATACATTTATTTCCAGTGTTTTCATGTCTTTATCTCATTTAAACTTTACCCCGTTCTGTAAACTTAAACGAAGAATCATCACTCTCACTCCTAAGATGGGAAAACACTGGTGAAGGGAGCACTGGAGGGATTAGCAAGAGTACATATGGGGAGCATACCCAAACTGCAACTACCCCCCTCCTAGTTTTCCAAAGGAGTAAGCAGGTTCAACTTCAACAAGTAGGTTAACTATGTTCAATTATTACCTATTACTAGGGTGGGGGACCTTTTTTCTGCCTAAGGCCACTTGGATATTTATAACATCATTCAAGGGACATACAAAATTATCCACTTGAAAATTAGCCTGCTATATTTGGTCAAACATTTAATTAACTCACCCTAATGCTTTGGCAGGGCCAGAACAAATGATTTCACAGGCCTTACATGGCCCGCAGGCCAGACGTTCCCCACCCCTGACAAAAAAGTAAGTCTCTTTACCCAATGAGATCAAGAACAATAATTAGTCCTAAATCACAAATGTCATAAATGTCCCTGGTGGGGAAAGAAGTATGTTGGCTGCAAACACTGAGCATGCCATGGGCACAGATGGATGAGGCTGACAGAGGAACTGACAAGTACATGGGTAAAAGTGAGGTTGGCTGTTAAATTGACATCTCTTCATTCGGCATGTTCCTATTAATGTAGACCCCTTTTACACACCCAGAATAAAGATAAAGGGTGGCTGTGTGGCCCAGAGAGCTGCTCACTCAGGGATAAGGGATCCTTAGTGCTTCTCCAGCTTCTCTATTTTGACAGACTATGCTCGCTTACAAACTCCTTGGGCTGACTGAGGGGAGCTCCTCTGCTGCCTCACAGCTTTCTGCAGTGCTGATAAGCCTTTCCAGGTCACCTGACTGCATCACGGTAACCCTCCCTTTAAAGCTAAATAAACCATTTGTTTGTTTATGCTAATATATGTGTGGAAGCTTAATCATTTGCAATCAAGCCAAATTGGACCAGTACACATTTTATGGAAAGCTTAAGTGACCCGCCCATGTTGACACTGTCAATCAACAACATATCTGATACCAGAATCAAGTGATTTGACTTCAAGTCTAAGGTTCTTTAAACTGTGATTAAACCTAAAATAATTCTCTAACATCTTCTAAGCCACTGAAACTTTTAGGAGATCTTTCCACTTAATAATTATTATTATTATTATTATTTTTTAAAGGAAATAGCATAGTTATTTCAGATTTTGGCCCTAACTTTAATTGCACCATTTTGATCTCCCCACCCCTTCATGAGCACAATAGATCACTGGCCTGATGAACAATTAGAGGTCTAAACCACATTCATTTGAACTGAAGCAGTCTTTCATCTGTAGATTATTAACACAGATAATAATATGCCCATCACTGCCATCTTAGTTTATTATGCCAGTGAATAAGGGAATTTTATAATCATCTATGTGGTATTTCAAATCACACAAAATTCCTGTGAAAGTTTCAGTGATGTAGAGCATTCCCAGATGTGTTGCCACGAGGCTGAGAAGATGGAGCCATGCCCTGCATTTAGAGTATGAAAAAGCCCAGACGCTGTAGGTAAAACACACTTTCATGAAAACCTGTTAAAACCAGATTTCAATTTATTAAATAAATCTCTTTCTTCTTGGAGTGTGGTACTAATCATAGTTAGAAAATTATGTCTGAAATCATGCTGTACTTTTAAGTTACTTTTCTGACCAAATCATTTTCAATTATGTTAAATCAAATTTATCTATATATCTACTAGCAGACAGGCAACCTTTAACTTTTCATTCTTATATGGAATTCTCCAATTTTGTTCATTTGGTTGTATGTACTGACAGAAGAACAATCCAAAATAGGATACTTGTTATAGGAAGTTTTATTAAAATCAAAACAATGATCAAAATAAACCCAATTCTTAATGCATCATGCTTATTAATGCCAACTTTACAATAGCACAGAACTGCACATACATCACACATACCCACTATCTATACCTCCCACAACCATGCATCTCTGGCCTGCCCTCCTGCCAACATTCAAATGATCTAAGATGATGATGATTACCTTACACAAGCTCTACCTAGTGCCTAAATAAGAAGCCCTTGGTGGAGCCAGTCTATTGCAGAGTAATGTACTCATACACAATTTTTACCTTCATCTGGACAAACTTGCTGTAATGTTAAAGTCTTCCAAGTAAACTCTCGCATATCTTTACTGATAAGCTGCAATAATTTTCCCATTTGGCATATGCTTCCTCTTTTGATTTTTTGTTCCCAAGTCCATTGCCCATAGTCTATCTGTTCTGGATGGATAACTGTTCTCTACTGCTGAAGATACATAATTAGTAAAAGCACATGCAATTCTCAACATTAAGAATTGCATGTCAGTGAGTTTTCCAACATTACCATTTTAAAAACTCTGTACTAGAAGGCTCAGAGAATCCAGATTACTTTTTTCTTCCACAGAAACCTCTCCAACAGTTTGAATATATCTCAGTTCAAGAGCATATTTTCCTGAATGTCTGTTTTTGATTGAGAAAATTTACTTAAATGTAATTATCTGAGAAATAAGGCATTTCTACATATGCATAAGTTCACTTGTTAAAAACCTATTCAACATGTTTTATGTCGTTACATTTCATGTAAAAATAGCAGTGAAGAAATAATTTTCTTAACTTAAGATACATAATCTGGTTAACAAAATGAAGTTAAAGTAAAATAAATCTAAATAACAAAATAGGAATATTTTGCATATATTATGTTTAAACTGGTTTCCTTGTGAAAAATCTCCTACTACATGCTCTGTAATTGTTTTAATTAGCTTGTAAACTTTTTTTAAAAGAATATTATATTGATTTTTAGAGAGAGAGGAAAGGAGAAGAGAGAACCATCAACGTGAGTGTGTAACATGGATCAGCTGCCTTCTGCATGACTCCTACTGGGGATCGAGCCCATAACCTGGGCATGTGGCCTCATCGGGAATCGAACCAGTAACCTCTCAGTGCACAGAATGGTGCCCAACTGAGCCACACTAGCCAGGACTTAAAAACTTTTTAATAAGCTAGAGTAAGTTGAGAAGTTATTTTAAAACAGTCATAAAATATCGATTTGAGAGTAAATTGAGAATTTGTTTTAAAACAGTCATATAAAATATCAATCAGCCCTAACCGGTTTGGCTCAGTGGATAGAGCATCGGCCTGCGGACTCAAGGGCCCCAGGTTCGATTCCGGTCAAGGGCATGTACCTTGGTTGCGGGCACATCCCCAGTAGGGAGTGTGCAGGAGGCAGCTGATCGATGTTTCTCTCTCATCAATGTTTCTAACTCTCTATCCCTCTCCCTTCCTCTCTGTAAAAAATCAATAAAATATTTTAAAAAATAAATAAATAAAATAAAATATCAATCAATTCACAGAATTTTCACCCAGCTCACCTCCATACTTATACCAACACATCAGCATGCATTCAGTAAAAACAGGTAGAAATAAGGGATGGTAATACTTCCTTTTAGAAATGATAAAATACTTAAGAGAGAACACAAATACAAACACATCCTGGAAAAGAAAATTAAGTTTAGCATTTTTCTAACAAACTAAACATTCACTAACAAGATTTTTAGGACTCATTTTGTTAACATAATCCTTACTAAAGTTAAAAGGATATCATTAAATAAACATATCAGTAAATACCTCTTTTTCTTTATATGCCCCTTAGGCTAACCTTATAAAATCAGATATGATTTTTGTTGAAGGAAATTATTATCATCCCCCTCCCAGTCCCATCCTTTCTCCACATAAATAAAATGCAAATGATGCCCTACTTAATATATTCTCTGACAACTCTCATTACTTAAAATTACAATATAACTAGAGAAGAGAAGAAAACATAGTCATGTGTCTCTAAAAATTGTACTTTCTTACCAATATGTTGCTGTAGAGCCCACGAGGAGTTTGAGACACGAGCAGAGAGCTTCTTTTCAACAGCTGGAGGAAGTCTCCTCCAATTAGTAAACTCCAAAGTAAAGATAAGGGTGTCATCGCTGACTGAGTCAGTCCTGTATTAGCAAGATGTTAATGCACCATTAGACACCAAATACATCAAGGATTCATCCTGAAAATAAACACCACATACCTATTCTTACAACACCTTACTAAGGAAGGCATAAAACTGCAGCATAGAAAATATTCACGTAACTGGAGGCAAGTTCAGTGGATATGAATAATCATCTACAGGTTCTTAAAGCAAACTGAATTGACTCTGTGTGAGTTAACAGATGACAAGAGGAAACTCTACTCTCAGAGAGGGCAGGAACTTTCCTTCCAACTCCCCAGCAGCAGTGTCAAGAAAAGACAGAGACAGCAACCAGTGTCCTCAGCAGATTTGGCATTATCTCCTCCCAACTGGACCATCTTGCTTTAAAAGTCCTGAAAGGATAAAGCCCAAATACCCAAATTATCCCTAAACTAAGTATACGGGAGAGACAGCTTGCTTCTGCCCAACTCCCAGGGATGTGCAACTGTTCTCCTCTAAGAACCTTGTGCATTATAGATTCAGCTCTAAGAAATGTAGCAGAATCAGTTTTGTCTCTAAGAACCAAAAACAAGTCTTCAGAACAGTTCTCTCTCTATTTCTAAAAAATAATTTCAGATTTCCTACCAACCTACCCAAAAGAGACTTCCCCAAATTTTATAAGCATTTGAATCTAATGGAAAGAGCACTGGTCTAGGACAGTTTCTGAGTTCTAATATTACCTCCACTATTTACAAACATGTTGCTAAAATTCTTCAAGCCCTTGATCCCAGTCCTCTAAAATGAGAATAATACTCAACCTATTTCAGGGGACTAATTGTGAAAATAATATGAAAAAATACAATAAACATACTTTTACAACTATAAAATGTTATATAAATGTTTGATATTACTAGAAACTGGTTTGAAATTTTCATTAGGCCTGATAACATGAAATATAGTCAAAGTGTAATGAGAACTATACATTCTAACAATTACTCAATTAGGTACTCCCCTACCATCACACTGTCTGAAGAAAAAGAAAATGATTAAGTCCTCTAGTAATTACTTTAAAAAGAGAAATTCTTTTCAAGGTCGTTTTTTGGTTTGTTTATTTTTTGGACTCATTATTGAGCAAGGACTAAAGAAGGGGGGGAAATAAAAAGAAAAAAAAGAAACTAAATAAAATGCTCTAAACTTGTCATCTCAAAGACAATTTACTTTTTATAATTCAGGGTCAAAGTATCCTTGAAATGACTGATCAGAGTATGAAAATTATTTCCCAGATTCTTAATTCTCTAATACGCAAACTTGTATATAACAAAGAACTCAATGTTGCACAAATGCCTTGGGAAAACATTTTACTTCTAAAGAACCTTTCAATGAAATCACAACTTTGAGGAACTACTAGAACAAATAAAATGATAAAGTACATTCAAGGGCAAAAAAATCTCCTTGACTTTCTAGGAACTCCACACCAAGGTTACTTGGTTTTGGTTCCTTATTTCTTTTGTAATGGTTTCATTTGTCTGCATTAATGTGCTTTAAGTCACACTGGGACCAAATACTAAGTCATTTTTATTCAGTTATCTAAACACACACAAGAAATAAACCTGTTTACACAGCTTTAGATAAAATAACTAATTTTACCAATGCTGATAATGCCACTAAAAATGTATTGTTACTGTACTACTCTGACCATTATGTTGTACGGAGCAGTTGTACAATCATAAATGAATGACAGTTAATCAACTAAATGCACGGATGACATTTACTTTCTATTACTTATTACATTCAGTTGGAGGCACCTAGTGTTGCATTTAAAGTTGAAAAAAATATTTCAACTCTGTAGATTATATTGTGATAGGCAATTATTCAGCCAGATACATTTTTAAAGAACGTTTAAGACAAAAAATACCTAGGAAAGACATTTATAATTTACATGACAAAGATTAAGCAACTGACTTTCATGTGATATAAATAAGATATAACCAAAATCCACTTTAACAGCATATTGGAATTTTATGGGAGAATTTTTCTTATAACAGCTCTATCTATGAATGTAAATTTGATCAAAGGAAGCAAAACATTTATCATATTCAGTGTAAACACTGGCTTTATCCATTCAATAGAAGATCAGAGAACAAAAATTTGACCATGTTAAGCATTTTTTTTGAAGTGAAATTTTCTAATGAATATAAAGTTACCCCTTCTGAGTAAACCATATGCAATTGGCATTCTCAGTCCAAATAGCTGCAAGTTTTACAATTTATTTCAAAAAAGTTTGTAGTTTATGGGTTCTTAATTCCTTTATATCCTAACCCATCCAATAAATACAGCTTATACTATATTTAATGGCTTATTACCACAAAAATTATCAAATGGGCTATTCACATTGGGGAGAGGGAGGCCTCTCCCCCCAGGATAGGCAAACGATTAAAATACCTGAAATCACGTGATATAACCAACATATCCCCATGGATACACAGGACTAAGGCAGCATAGCACAGTGGTTAGAAAGACAGACTTAAGCCACAAAAAGGACAACCTGGGTTCAAAATTAAGCTCTACTAACTAGCTGTGTGAGCTTGGCAAGTATGTTAATTACTATACCTCAATTGTAAAATAAAAATAATAGTATCCAGTGTATTTTATAGTAAACTAGAGGCCTGGTGCATGAATTCTTGCACCAGTGGGGTCCCTCGGCCTGGCCTGTGGGATCGGGCTGAAACCAGCTCTCCAACATCCCCTGAAGGGTCATGGATTGCTAGAGGGCGCAGGCCAGGCCGAGGGACCCCACCGGTGCACGATTGGGGCTGGGGAGGGATGCAGGAGGTTGGTCAGCCAGGGAGGGGCCACGGGAGGGCTCCAGGGAGTGTCCAGCCCATCATACTCAGTCCTGATTGGTCAGACCCCAGCAGCAAGTTAATCTACTGGTCGGAGCGTCTGCCCCCTGGTGGTCAGTGCACATCATAGCAACTGGTCGACTGGGGGACTTTTTGCCCCCTGGTGGTCAGTGCACGTCATAGCAAGCGGTTGAGCAGCCTTAGCATATCATTAACATATTACACTTTGATTGGTTGAACGGACAACTGGACACTTAGCATATTAGGCTTTTATTATGTAGGATAAGTTACTATAAAGAACTTAAAATAATGCCTACCATGCGTTAGGTAGTATTCTAAGTGTTGGTTAAAGAAATAAACTAGAAACTAGAAATACATATACTAGAAACCAGAGAACTGAAAGTAACAGGCAAGTAATATGGAGTTGAGTTAGTAGCTTCAGTAGGAGAACACAAAGAGTGTGGCTGAGAAGAAAGTGGTGCCTGGGGGACAAGCACCAAGTGAGGGAAGAGAGTAAAGGGGACACACTGTCAAGGCTGTCTGTCCACAGCCACCCGCCTTTTGGGGCTGGATTTCCAGCTAGAGTCAGGGAGTAAATCCTAGAATGGTGAGGGGCAACTGCAGCTAGCTGTCAGGCACCCAAACACAACAATAAAATTCACTAAGTAAAATGTTATGGGTACTTAAATAGCTTTGTTAACAGCTAGACACAGCATTCATTAGCGAATATTTATATCTCAGTTGCATGTGTGTGAGTGAGTGTGTATCTGTTAATAGGACAAGTACAGTATACATATACAAATAACTTTTTAAAATCAAAGATTTCTAAATAAACTGCCAATAATCTTTTTTTCATTCAATTTGTCTTAAAAATACAATGTTTCAGTGAAACTGTATTGAAAAGATATAGAGGGAAGTGCACAAATGAGCATTTGACAGATAACTATGTATTAATCAGCTGTTGGAGAAAGGAGTGAATACTATCAGGGACTCAACCTGCTGTAAACTAAACAAAAAGTTAAGTGGAGATGAGAATGTGTATCTAAACTTTGCTTCTGCTTCTATAGTCCATAGGCATAATCCCTTTCTACTCCCTTCCAGTCATGTCCTACCTTTTTCTAGGAATCTATCCCTACATTCAATCTCGCTATTAGCAGCCCCCCAATCCAGCCATCAGAGTCACATACACACACACCCTCATCCCAACACCAAATCTCAAGAAATTGAGGGAACTTAAATATAGTATATTCACTCAAAAAGGTAAGGTCCACTATTGTAGGATTTCTTACCAAGAACTGCATAGAAGATTCAGTGGGTCAAATCCAGCAAGCAGGAGAGATGGCAACCATTCCTTATATTTCGTCTGTGCTTTAACTGCATGATTTATAAATTCAGACATATGGTTCCATGGTGCCAATGGGCAACCTTTCTTCAAAAAGTAACGAAATACTGAAAATTTCTCATACTTCAGGCAGTATGCCAAATGAAGTTCATTTAGCTGGACTCCATATTTCAAAAGAATATTCACAATTCCAAAAAATTCACAGCTCCACCACAAAAAAAGAGAAAAAGAAGTTAGACTTTTACATAAAAAATAAATGTTACAAATAATTACTAGTAGTTACAGCTGGAAAATAAGAACAGCAGATGGGATAGTGGATGGTTTTTATATATCTAGTACATTTGAGAGTAGGGGACTAGGGACAAGGGAGGGTTTTACTTTTTAATTTCCACCCCCCTGCATGGTTTTTAATTTTTAACTATAAGCAAATAGTGCCCTTAGAGTTCTAAATATTCATCTTAAATAATTTTAAAGATTATCATTGACAAATAGAAAACTTCTCAAAACTGTGATTTTTTTAAAAAAATATATTTTTATTGGTTTCAGAGAGGAAGGGAGAGGGAGAGAGAAAGATAAAAACATGATGGAAGAGGGAATCATTGATTGGCTGCCCCCTGCACTCCCCCCATTGGGGATCAAGCCCGCAACCCGGGCATGTGCCCTTTGCAGGAATTGAACCCGGGACCCTTCAGTCTGCAGGCTAACGCTCTATCCGCTGAGCCAAACCGGCAAGGGCAAAACTGTGATGTTTTTATACAATTAAGTATCTCTACTACAAAATATCTGCCAAATCAAGTTATTGAACAATGTGATCTGTCTCTAAAGACTCATCCTAGGAATCACCAAAATACCATTTCCTTTAGCAATAACCTTAGTCAATGTCCCCTTTACTTTCAAATTTCTAATGGTAAAAAATAATCATCTAGAAAAGCTGTTTTTAATTAACAAACATTTAACTTATAGCTTTATTTCTAAATTAATCTACTTTATCATGTACTTTTACAGAATAAAAGTACATCATTTTGTATCTATTAAGCTGTTGCTGTTTTCTTAATATTTTATCATTCAATATCAGTAAGTTCTGGTTAAACTGATTAAAAATAAGTGCAATCCTTTTTTGAGAGAGCTAAGTGGCAAGATGTATCAAAAGAAGTATCATAGCAAAGCTGTAAGAGCACAGACTGAAGCCAGCCTGCTCAGCTACCCACTAACCCTGGGACTCTGAATAAGTCACTTAACCTTCCTGGCACACAGAATTAGCATTGTATAAATATTTGTTGCATGAAATATTAGTCCCTGAAAATGATCCATATAAAAAAGGCTCCAAAATGAAAATATCTGAGAAATCCTATAATACAGAGTGAGTCCAGAAAAGAAATATAGGGTAAACATCTTTTTAAAGAATATGCTAGTTATATTTTCAAATTATATGCTAAAACCTCCAGATACCTGAGAAGAAATACCTTTAAAATTAAAGCAAAGAATTCAATTATTAACCTGAAATAAGCACAATAAAAAGTAAAAAATACCCCAAAATCTATAAACAAAGGAGTAGTATAATATTGTAAACATAAGATCAAATTTTTGTAGATTCATTCCCCTCTCAGGAATTCACAAAGCACCATCATAAGAAAAAAATTTTAAAGCCCTTCAAGAAAGAAACCTATTTAACATTACTTAACCCTATGTTTCCCAATTAACTATTTTATCCCATGTAATATTCATTAATGATCTATAGAATTAGTATTGTACAAAAACACACTTCGGAAAACCCAGCTCTACACTTCTTCCAATTACCATATTGCCTTGTGTTAGAAGAGACAAACCACATTCTAAAAGGCTTATAAAACTGCCTAATGCTACATTTATTAACACATTTCCAACAAAACTACCTATAATATGGTGAATAATAAACATAAAATAAACTGGAAAATCATAAAATTTGTCAGCATGCCCTGAGCTTCTGAGAAGACTGAAGGTCTCAAATATACATATAAGCTCCAGAAACACAAGCAACTTCAGTGCTCTATATGACCTTCATTATTGCATGTTATTGAGCAACAGTAGCCCTAGGGCATAGATAACCTTTGGTTAAATAATAAATTGTATAAACAGATTAAAAAGAAAACAGTGCATCCTATTTAACCCTTGCAGAGCATTTGGTCCTGCCTAAAACATTCACAAAGACGTATGGTCCTTGATATTTGGTCCTGTATCAAAATACCTAGAGACATTTGATCCACACCCACCTATTTAACTTATTCCATGTGTCATTACCAGCTAGGCTACCAAGGCAGGAAGCATTACTATTGACTAGAGGCCTGGGGCACAAAATTTGTGCAGGGGAGGTGGGGGGGGGTCCCCTCAGCCCGGCCTGCACTCTCTCCAATCCGGGACCCTTTAGGGGATAACCGGCAGTTGGACATCCCTCTCGAAATCCGGGTCTGCTGGCTCCTAACGGCTCACCTGCCTGCCTGCCTGATCGCCCCTAACCGCTCTCCCCTGCCAGCCTGATCACCCCTAACCGCTCTCCCCTGCCAGCCTGATCGCCCCTAACTGCCTCTGCCTCGCCCCCGCCACCGTGGCTTTGTCCAGAAGGACGTCCAGAATGATGTCTGGAAGACGTCTGGTCTATCCGGTCTAATTAGCATATTACCCTTTTATTAGTATAGATAATACAGTCAAAACCAATTACTGGATCAATAAAACATGGTAGTATTTTTATGTATAAACCCACAAGTATAAATAAATATCATGGGCTATCTGAAACCACAGATGTTTTTTAATCATGGACATTTTGGACAGGACCAAATTTGAAGGAACTTTTGCTCTGGCCGGGTAGTTCAGTTGGTTAGAGCGTCGTTCCGATATGCCAAAGTTGAGGGTTCAATCCCTGGTCAGGGCACATACAAACCAATGAATGCATAAATAAGTGTAACAACAAATCAATGTTATGTTCTCTCTCTCTCTCTCTCTCTCTCTCTCTCTTGCTCTCGCTCTCTCTTAAAAAAAAAGTCAATAAACTTAAAAAAAAAAAGTCAAGGTCCTTTTGGCTTGCACCAAACGTCTCAGTAGACATTTTGGACAGGACCAAATATCTGCTAATATAAACATCACGAACTAAATGTGACACATTAAGAGACTGCATATTATATAAACCAGTGATTCCCAAAGTGGGCGCTACCGCCCCCTGGTGGGCGCTGCAGCGATCCAGGGGGGCGGTGATGGCCACAGGTGCATTTGTTTTAACTTTTTTTGTAGTACCTTTCTATTCTGAGTTCAATAAATAGTTTCATAATTTCAAACTTCAATGTTTCTAATTTACACCTTTCTTTACTATATTTTATGAAAAAGGTAGAAACATTAATACATATATCTTTCTGTTTAATTGCTATTAAAATTTTAAAAAAAATTAATTTCCAGGGGGCGCTGAGTAATATTTTTTCTGGAAAGGGGGCGGTAGGCCAAATAAGTTTGGGAACCACTGATATAAACAGTGAAAATCATCAAATACTGAAAAAAAGGAGAGGTTTAAAACCTAAAAAAGCAATGTCTGCACCTTATCTTGGGGTCTGCACATTTTCCATTATTTTGCTCTTTGAAGTTTAAAAATTTGCACAGAAACAGTGCCCAGAAAAGAAAGAAGCACAGTAAGAGGAAATTCAACATATTAACAAAATTTATTTTAAACAGAAATGGGCAAACAGCTTGAGCATTTTATGTTCAATTAGCCAACAAAATGTCTAACCAACTTATTAGCTGAATGATCAAAGACCATATAAGTTTTACTGAATGGTTTTCAGCCATTTGCTGAATACAAAATACATTAGGTCCTATGTGTGATTATGATGAAGAAAAATGACACACAATTTCTATAAAACTAATGTGCTAGCAAGGATCAGTATCAATTCAAAAGACAAAATCGGGTTTGTTAAGCCATGATCTCTTCCTACAGTCATATATAAGTGGCGTTAATATTTGTTCAAATTGTCCTGAACTTTCTCAACTTCTCTCTTCTTTTACACATTCTAGATAAAGGAATCTTTTTCTTATATCTTCTCATTTCAGTTGAATTACTCAACTGTGCCCTTGAAAGAATGGCTTTCATGTTACTGTAGCTGTTAACTTTTTAGCCCCGAGGGACAAAGACTGTTTTTGTGCAGTGATGGAGGAGACCTCTTTCCATGAGAAAAGCTAAGGTCACTGCTTCAAATGGAAGCTCATCCTCTCAAAGGGATGCCCAGGAAAAATGTTTCAGGATGCTAATCCTGAGCTAAAAAGTTAAATCAGGTGAATAAAACAATAAAGAAGAAAAATTGTAAAACCCAGAGCCATTATTTACATCTATTATTTTTATTACCTTATGATATCAACTGTACTATTTGTAAAAGCATATAGAAGAGTTCACTAGAACACGACAGGCCAACAGTGAAAGAAAGGCCACAAATACTAAATATCTAGATCTCAGAGAAATACCAAAAAAAAAAAAAACAAAACAAAAAAACACACAAAAAAGAAAATAAAAGTTTTAAACTCATCAACACTTAAAGTCAATAAATTTTTTTAAATGTTGCCGGGGCCCTAGCTGGTTTGGCTCAGTGGATAGAGCATCGACTTGCAGACTGGAGGGTCCCAGGTTCAATTCCAGTCAAGGGCACATGCCCGAGTTGCAGGCTCGATCCCCA